GAGAGACAGAGAGAGAGAGAGAGACAGAAAATGCATTTGTTTATAATTAGTGTACATACCACATGTTTAATCTGAAGTGTAACATTTGCAAATTTTTAACAACCGAAGCTTAGTTTTTCCAAATACTATATTAATTCAGATACATTTTTAACAGTATTTTAACATCTTAATTTTAATTTCTGACAAACATGAATATTAGCGGGAGGAGTAGGTGTGGTCAAAATATATGTTACAACGGACTTCCTGAAGGTACCCAGAAACACACAAAACTGTTGCGTTTTGTTGTTGTTGTTGTTGTTGTTGTTGTTGTTTTCAGCTAGTAGTTTGTAAATTAACGTAAAATAATTAAGGCATTTAGCAATAAATAATAAATTTAGCTTTCATGGCTACATCACAAACTGAAACAGCAGCAAGAAAAATACAACCATAAGGATTTATGATACAAGAAACGGTGAGTATTTAATAATAATAAAAAAGTATTAATCTTGAGACTTGTAATATTTATAAGCTTTAGACTAGCCATTTACACAAAAACTCATCTTTAGCTAAGCTATTCAGCTAATGCTTTTAGGCTCCAATATGGTAGTATGCCTAAATAAGCTTGGATATTAGGTTTTAATAAAACATTAAATTATTTTTAAATACTATAATTAAGTTTGAGTCAGAGTCAGTTTCTTTATTGTCATTCACACCTCATGTGGTACATGTGGTGGAGCGAAATTATGTACACAGGGTCCCAGTTACATCCAACAATAAAATGTATAAGAAAAACAGTAATAACATCTAAGATATGAACTAAGAAAAACATCAACTAAATATACACTAAGCACTCATAACATAAAAACATTGAACATCAGCACAAACATGAACATGTCTGTGTGAGCAGATGTGCACGCATGAACACATCAACATTGAAACAGATCAGCAGCAACATGAAACAGAGCAGCAGCAACACGATGCGATTTTTTCACAGTGGTTATTCTGGTTAGAGATTCATGAGTCTAACAGCCTCAGGGTAGAAGCTGTTCCTCAGTCTAGTGGTTCTACACTTAATGCTCCTCAACCTCCTTCCTGAGGGGAGCGGTGCAAAAAGTGTGTGTGCTGGGTGAGTGGGGTCCTTCATGATGCAGGTGGCCCTCTTCCTGCATCTGGAGGTGTAGATGTCTGTGATGGTGGGGAGACTGACTCCAACAGACTTCTGTGCAGCCTTCACCACTCTCTGCAAAGCTTTTCTTTCTGCAGCTGTGCAGCCTCCATGCCACACGTTGATGCTCGAGCACAGGATGCTCTCCACTGCACACCTGTAGAAGGAGGTGAGGACTGAGCTTCCCAGACCAGCTCGTCTCAGCCGTCTGAGGAAGAAGAGTCTCTGATGAGCTTTATTGATCAGGCTGGTGGTGTTGTTGCTCCAGCTGAGGTTGTCATTCATGTGTACACCCAAGTACTTGTAGCTGGAGACCACTTCCACCAGAGATCCTCTTATGTTCAGGGGGGTGTAGGTGTTTTTGTTCCTTCTTAAGTCCACAATCATCTCCTTTGTCTTCTTCACTTTGATGTGAAGGTTATTCTCTTTGCACCAGCTCTCTATGTCACGAACCAAGGTTTTGGATTCAATATAAGCCAGACACAGGGGTGCAAAAATTAACAGTTTTTATTAATAAGGCTGCTGGTAGCTGCAGAGGGAGGCCTTTAATGCTATGGACAGTGGGGCAATGGAAGTTTGTGGTCCAAAGGGCAATCCAAAAGGGTGATCCGTGAGTCGAGGTCATAGACTGAAGAGGAGGTCGTTACTGTGGTCAGAGAGGCAGAACAGAACCAGATGAGGAGCAGGCAAAAAACGGGAAATCCAGAAGGCAGGCGTGAGGTCAATAATCCAGAGAACAAGGCTTGAGGTCTAGGCATGAAACTATGAGGGCTTGAAAATCAGGGACCATGGAAGGTGTAGTAATTCAGCCTGGTGGAGAGGGAGAATGGAGTTTATAAAGGGTGCAGAGCAGGTGAACTAGATGAGCTGAACAGGTGAGAGTAATCAGGGCTGATGAGATGAAAGTGCAGAGGGGGGTGTGGCTAATGACAGAAGAAAAAACAGCATGATGACAAAGAGGAGCAGAAACATGACATGATGGGGCTGTGAGTGTGAGACGGGGGCTGATGGGGGGTCAGCGGGGGCCGCTGATCGTGACACTCTAGGTGTTCCACCTCTTGCCTGTAGCTGGACTCATCATTGTTTGTGATGCATCCCACCACCGCTGTATCATCTGCAAACTTTACAATGTGACAGCCTGGATAGGTAGCTGCACAATCATACGTGAGCAGAGTAAACAGGAGGGGGCGCAACATACATCCCTGAGGAGAACCAGTGCTGAGGGTTAGGTAAATATATCCAATTGATTAGTTTTTACAATTTTTAGGGCAAAGATGCTCCTCATAAAATTACTTTTATTTAAATATAAAAAGTAATTAAAAAAAACAATGATTATTGTAATAATAAGTTGCGCAACATCGCTCTGGGTGCATTAACTGTGGTAACATTTTGCAGGTGCCAATTTGCTTGGGCTTGTGTCTATTTATGCATACTAGTGCGTATATTTAATTTTATTTTGTATCATGCTGATTGCTTCATCACATTTTACTACAAGAACATCACAGATTTACAATTTTTTTTTTAACAAGGACTCCTATTTATAGTGTCAGGAAGGATTGGTGTGCGAGATAAACTGGCTTTTCCACCAGCAGTTTGGACCCTGTGGCCCAATAGAAGCAGACTAAGGGGATGAATTGTGCAAATTTGAATCTACTGTCTGGTTTTGCCACTTGTCTGTGGTGTGTGTACACTGTCTGCAGGAATGAAGCTGAACCACTCCCCTTACCTGGCCTGTGTGTGTGTGCTTGCATGCCTCTAGGGTTGTGGGCGTGAGCCGAGGCCTCTCAGGTGTCTTTTGGGCTTAAGAGTCATCTTCCAATGAGAACCTAGCTTTTCTTCCTTGTTACAACTCAGGACAGTGCCCCCATCCTTCCTGTAATTCACCATCGAGAGGCTAACACGAGAGAGGAAGACGCAGGTACAGATATGGACAGGAAGCTCAACAAAAGGACGAGGACTTCCACACACCTTTGTGTGACGTAAAGGTCACGCAGCCTGAAGACAGTGTGGTTTGTTTGTTGAGCAAAGCTGGTTCAAACACCATCAGGTTAGTGTTGCTTCAGTGCGAGTGCCTGCGAACGCACAGCGGTAAAGGCTCAGTCCTGACACCGTGGTGCTTTTCCCTCCCAGACGTCTCGACTTTAAAACCTCACAAGCTGGTTGATCATAAGATGTTGCTTTTAAGGGCCTGGAGGGGGTAAGTCACGCTTTACTAGATTATTCCTAAAGACATTTCTTTGTCGCTTCTTGCTCGGCTCACTCAGAACTTGATATGTTTCTATGATCTCATTCAGAAATGCTTGTTAATTTTTTTTATGACTCTTTAAATTTGTACTTTCTAAACCTGTGATGTGCTGTAGGATACTTCACATGCTTAGTCGCAGCTTCTCTTCTTCTGCAGCGGTAAATTACGTTTTGGCTTCTCCTGCTTTTGTCAAGTATTCATGTGTTTAAGTTGAGAAATTCTTCCCTTCTAAAGCTCCAAACACCTTCAGTGATTTATTCTAGTTTTAAATAAACAGCAGTGCTGGTGACGATACCATCTCATCCCGCGGAACAACTTTGTTTCTACTTGAAACACTTTAGTTTATACCACAGATTAGAGTTTTAAATCAGAGATATCTAGTTTTCAAACGGTTCAAAATTTATAGAAAGGCAATGGTTTAGTTTAATTCTTTAAAAAAAATCCCTAAACATAACTTTATTGAAAAAAATTCAGTGTAGAATAAATATTTTTTCCACGTCAGACAGTATAATTTAATTGCATATGATATGTGCAGCGTTTATTTGCACCCTGACAGGAAGTGAGAAACGAGCACCCACACAGGAAATGTGGTCAAGGTTAGTCCCGGATGCTGGGTTGCACGACGTGAACAGAATAATTGAGATATGCAAAAAGTTTGAGAAAACAGAAAGTGTGTTATAGACGGATAAGATAGTAAATCAAGTGAAAACGTACAAATAAAGATAATATGTTGATTTGCTGCGAGAGAACGACGCTGTTCGTTTGTGTTGACAACATGCGGTTCAGGAGTTTCAAATGGTTTTATCCCTCTGCCAGTGCCACATATGATAAGAACGATAAACAGAACACAAGTGGCTGAGCTCAACCGAAACAGCCCCTAAACCCCACCCTCCACCTCCATTCTCACTCCATCTTACTCTACACACCTTCGTTTCCTTCTCTTTCTCTCGTTCGTTCAATGACTTATTTGCAGTCAGGAAGCAGAAATATCTTTTTTGGGACTTTTCACTTTAAGCTCTGTTGCACCGCACATCTGCAGTGACACATGGCTTTTAAAACGGTTGACAAAGATGATGGGAAGAAAACCAAAAGGTGAGATGGTGTTGCTTTCAGGTGGTGAGTGTAGTTTTTTCTGTGTCGGATAATCCTGTTTAGATTCAGGCAACAGTTAATACATGCTGTTTTGGTGGAAATTTAATCTTTAAATAATAATCTGTCTTGTTTTTTTTCTCCTCAAGGGCTCATAACGGTGGCACTGTACAAACTAATCGCCCCTAATCCAACAGTAGATTTACAGCTTCACTGTCTTTAACGAAAAGTCACGGTGGCTGGAAAACCAAACAGCCCGAGAGGAGCTAATGGAGGAGGAAAACTTGTGCTCCTCCATGCCAGATTGTGTGGAAACAGTTCCTGAACAAGAGTCTGGGACCTCGGCAGACCAGCAGAGCATCAATGGAGAACAGGAGGTCGTAGTGTGGGGTGAGACAGAGGTGCAGATCAGCTTAACAGAGAAGCCAAATGACTTCAGTTTCTCTCCAATGGCGGACGGAAAGGTTGAAGAGGGAGAACCGTGTGAGGAAACGTGGTCACCTCACCCCATCACCTGTAGCAGCCCTCCGATTTCTGTTGCTACAGTGCAATGGGACATGCCTGACTCGTGCACAGAGACTCCTTCACTCATGACTGACAGCAGCTTGGCCAGTGAGCTGGACTTTAGGAGTCTAATCAGCACTTCCCCCTCTCTTCACCAGCCTCAAGCGGTTGATATTGAGCTTTTCGAGCAGGGAGACAAAGAGGAACAGGATGTCACTCCATTTCTGGACTCAGCAATTGCATGTTCAGGAAATGACACTCAGGTATGTGTAGATTACACCAAGAGGGAGGTGTGATGTCCTCATTCTTCTGTTGAAACTTTATTTATTTATATCAGGACTATTCAATGAAATTGCTCCGAGGGCCACAGTTACTGAAAGCCACGAGCTCAGTGGTTAGATATCCAGTAGTTATTATTAGGGATGCACAATATTATCAGCATGGTATTGGTATCGACCGATATTAGCGATAAAGTTAAATATCGGACATCGGCCATTCCATCAAAATAATACACAGATATAAAAGGCTTCGGTTTTAAGTTATTTTTAATTTAAGAAACTAAGTATATCTATTAATGCACTTCTACTTATGCGCTTTTCACTTGTCGCATGTGAACAGGTTGAGTTTAGATTTGTGAAAATTTACAAATTTGCACTGTTCGAGTGTTGTCATTGTGTTAGAGAGAGTAAAGGTCATGAATAAATTTGACATTAAACGTAATCCAAGTTGAAGTGTTACATCATTTTCAGCCCCCTTGTCGGCATCTGTATTTGGTAGCAGGTCAAACTGACAAAGACCATGCAGAATTAGGCCTGTCGCAATAAACAATAAATCAATTAATCGCATGATAAATGAAAATTATCGACCTCATTTTCATTTATCGGCTTTATCGTTTCTTCGTGTCTCTCTCTTTCTACTGAAGACACTGGATGACAAAAAGCTCAACTCTGCTGTTCTTCACTGACTCCTCCCTTTCTCTTTTCTCTTTAAAATCTGTTTTCATATTTTTATATTGTGAATAGCAGTTAATCTGAGAATCTAAGCTATGAGCTAAGCTAATAGGCCGACCTCGGGAAAAAATCTCCGTCTTGTCGAAGCAAAATTTACAGCCCATGTCATGTCAAGGGGCCTCCCTCCCATTTTTCTTAAAAATAGACACACTGCTCACTCTCTAACTATCCATCCTTCAGTTCAAACGGTCTTATACTGCCATTCAGTCGTCAAAAAAGGTACGACACACAAAAATTAACCAACATTTCTTCTTCAATTTGACAGTAATTACTAATTGTCAAATTTCAAACAATATTATCGTTTATCGCAATAATTTCTGAGACAATTAATCGCCCAGCAAAATTTGTTATCATGACAGGCCTATGCAGAATAATGTAGTATTTTAATTCCACCGCAGATAAAGCTATGTAGTCTCTGGATGTATCAGTATTGGTATCGGTTATCGGCTAAGTAAGTTTTAACATATTAGCATACTGGATATCAGCCAAAAATCTAACATCGTGCATCCCTATTATCATTAGGTAATTTTGTTTTACGGTTAAAAATCTAGTTTTAGTTTAAAATGAACCCATTGGTGGGCCAAACTTAGGTCACATGGGGGCCTGATTTAGCCCCCGGACCACCAGTTGAATAACCCTGATTTATATGAATGAACACATTAGTTATCAACTCTTCATTCACTGACTAATTTACAGCCTGTGTTTAATTTTTTTTTTTTAACAAATACTGGCTGTTGCAGTAGGTTGAGCAAACATGATGTTGGTCAGATGACACTCAAGTGTTCAGCTTCAGGAGCTCGCTGGAAATCACACGTTTTTCTCCCACAGCCTTTGCTACAAAAACATTTCCAGCCATGTGATGCTGCAGATGTGAACGAACCCAAGACTCAGGAAAAGGACGATTCAGGAGATGAGCAGCCAGACAACAACGATGGTAAGTTTTTAATCAAACTTTAAATATGGAATATGTTAAGTATCTCTCAGTATGAAAGAATATATGTATCTTCCTGTTTGTATTTCTTGTCGTATAATTTCTAACGCATCTTGAAATTCTAGCCAAGACACTTTTAGAGGAAGAAGGAGAGCGCTCTTTAACGTCAGCTGCTGTTGTAACCGAGGACTTTACAGAAACTGCTGAGGACATTCGCGGCTCAGAGGAGGCTGTGGATGGTTGTGGAGATGTGAAACAAGAAGCGGAACAAGAGATCAGCGTTCTGCTGAGCGAGCAGGAAGACTCAGAGGAAGAAGAGTCTTCAGCAAATGGCGCTGAGAGCAAGACGGAAAATGAAGACGGCAGCGAGGTTCACGAACCACAAAGTGTGACCCAAAGTTTTAGCGAGGAAGAGCAGACTTCAGTGAACGACGCTGAGATCGAAGAGAAGAGTGTGATTAACGTTTACAGCGAGGAAGAAAGTGAGGAGGCGGAAACTGTCGACTTTCTCAGATATGGGTAAGCATCAAGAACAGGAAGTGTCTGACAGATAACCCAAAGAGCAACAATTAAATAAAGGTGAAAACTGTCAGATATACTCACGTCCACTATATAAGAATCACTCTTGATGGACGTTTTTATTATAACTTTGGCTGAAAACGAAAAATGTGAGGGTCGAAATTACTTGTACTTTTCCAGTCTTTTCTTTCAGAAAACACAATTTTGCGTTTGATTTTGTGGGACACACTAAAAATTACACTTTCAGGTTATCCAACAGAGTCAGTATTCAGTTCTTATCAAACAATCCTTAAACCAAATCATTCTAAAAAAAGAAAAAGGCTGAATCGATTATTTATTTCTTATTATAAATACCTTATTGCTTGAATATAAAGAAGACAAACTTTGACACAATAAACACTTTCCTTACATCAGTCTAAAGTGGATAAGAATGGTTAGTATCAGGTCTGTGTTGATGTTCTTGCATGGTTTATTTATTTATTTTCTTATTTTAATTTCATTAATTTTTCCTTAACATGTTTGCTTTTTTGAGACTTAAATTAAAATTATATAACATACAAGTGTAAAAGTAGGAAGAAATAGAAAAAGGCCTACGGTATATGACAGAACCGTATTTTTCGGATTATAAGGCGCATTAAGTGAAACAAAACAGATAAGTCAAACTTTATTCAACTTATTCACAATAACCACATAAAATCGGTTCGAGGTCAGTAAGCACAACCAGAATTAATACATAAGGTGCACCGGATTATAAGGCTCACTGCCAATATTTGAGAAAATTTAAGGATTTTAAGTGCACCTTATAGTCCGAAAAATACGGTATATTATAAAGTTACAGTAAGAGGTCGGTACAGTCTTTATATGTTTATTGTTGTCAGGACATGTTTACTAGGTTTTAATAAAACCTTGATTAGCTACACAAGGTATCACATATTTCTCTAAAAGAAAGCTAAAAAAAAAAATGCAGAAATAGTGTGAAAAACCATTCTGAAGTTCAAAAAGTTAATTTATCTTTAAATATTTCAGGCCACTATTTTGTACCCAACTGCTTTTTTATTTTTTTAGGATATTTGTTTTATTTGAGCTAAAAGAAACAGCCCTATGTTGTAGATTAGTTTTTTTTTTTTTTTTTACTGTTATTCTTTTTATAATAATAATAATAATAATGTCATCACAATGTCAGCACTGTATGTTTCCATACAATGGCGAAATTAGTCTCTGCATTTAACCCATCCACCACCAGGTGGTGCAGTATCAAAATTGTTTAACGTTTTCTGTTAGTTTTGATAGCTCATATGTGGCGATTATGCTCATATTGCATGATCCTAAAAACATCAAACTGCCAAAACTTTTGCTTTTATGAATTTGCTCACGCTTGCCGATGACCCAGTTGCACATCATTTGCATCAGCTCTTTGCTGTCACTTCCCTTCTAAAGCCCAATAAAAGCAGCACAGACCTTTTCATACACTACTTCTGCTTTTTGAACCAGCACTGGTTAAATAACGACGCTGTACAAAATAGAGTGTAAGTGAACAAACTGGTGAGAATTTGTTGTTTATTACATTCTGAAGCAAAAAAAATCTTATACAGGGAATAGTAAGGGTAGTAACTTTAAGACTAAATAATATGTTTCCAATTAAAACAGCACTATTGATAACACTTAAACCTCACATTATTTGATTTAGTTTAAATAGACACCAGCTCTTTCTAAAATGCACCGATTAAAGTGATCTTTGGCAAATTTTATTTATAAAAAGCTCTCACCTGCAAATTTAGGATCATTTTCTCCAATTATTCGTTACAGACAACTTACTAAATGATGACTTGGCTATGTTGCAATGACGAATTGGATAAAAACTAACAAAAAGTCTTACCGTATTTTTCAGACTATGATGCACACTTAGTTAAAATCCAATATTTTTTTCTCAAAAATCAACAGTGAGCCTTATGTGTAATTCTGGTTGTGCTTACTGACCTCAAACTGATTTTATATGGTTATTGTGAATGAGTTGAATAAAGTTTGACTTATCTAACTGTTTTGTTTTGCTTAATGCGCCTTATATATGAAAAATATGGTACATGCTGATCACTGATTAGGTCAGTCAAGATTAAAATGACCAAATTCCAGTCACCTACAAAGCAATCAATGCATCAATAACTTTGATTTAGAACTAAAAAGACATTTAAAATTTTCATTATTAGACTTTTCTGATTACGTCTCTGATCTGAGCTGATAGTATTTTCTATCATATGCTTTTTGATGCTATTTATGATGATGTGCTGTTTCCGAACAACAACCACAGTGCATATTTTATTCACCTTTTTTAGGGAAGTACCTGAAGAAGCAAAAAGTGACAACGCTGGACTGAACACTTCTACAGATAAAGTAACAGATCTGCAGGAGCCGGAGCTTTTAGAAGATATACACTCGGGGGTGAAGAAGAATGTTGAGATACTGGAACAGTTACATGAAGACCTCAAAGTTCAGCCTGAAGAGTTAGAAATGTGTGAAGACGTGGATCAGAACGTGGACTCTGACCAGTCAGAGGCTGTGAACAATGACGAAGAAGCTCCAGTACAGGAGGCAGAAAATGCAACAAACGTAGAAAACTTGCCAGAAACAGAAGAGGTGACTGAAAATCTTGGGGAGATGAATTGTTTAGAGCATCTGGAGTGGGATCCAACAGCTTCTCAGGACAACCTGCAGCCTGAAAGCGTCGAGCCTGAGCAACAGGAGGTGGCTGAGCAGTCGGCAGAGGACTCTGACCCATTACAGTCACCAGGATCACCAGAGATGGACCAGTCAACCTGTAAATCTGAAAATCCAGAGCAACCAGGGGACCCTAATCAACCAGAGCAGACAGTTGGTGCTGAAGCTGAACTCGAACAGGAAGAACAGACACCTCAGCCGACGCTGTCTGAGGAGACAGAGTCGGAGATCTCCGAGCAGCCGTCTCCTAAGACCGAGGCCACCCAGCAGACAGGGGAGGCTGATTTAAACCATGCGGACAAACAGGAGACGTCGGATCAGGATGTAGAGATCGGGGTGGCTGACGATGGAAATGTTCAGAAACTTGTAGCAAATGGACACAAAGCCTCAGACGCAGCGGCGCCTTACATGAACGGTGGTGAGGCGGACAGAGAGAAGGCCCGGAGGCTCGCTGAGCGGCTCTTTAACCTGGACAACGTAGACCGAGCAGATGTGGTGAAGCACTTGGATAAAGAGTAAGCACACATTTACATTTTATCTTAATATTTGTATTTTTATTTTTTAAATGAGTGAGCTGACTGTGAACTGAATGAACTTTGGACTTCTACTGAAAGTTCATCTTTATTATTATAAAACTCAAACATTTTTTAGAGTATACCACATATACAGTAGCACTATAAAAACCCTGCTTCTTCCCATATTACAACCAAGTATCTGCTGAAGGCTTGATCCTTGGAAATATGATTGTTTCTGGGATTTCAGCATCATAAGACCAGACTTCAGCTTGCAGCCTGTGATCATTAATGAAGGATGTCAAAAGGACACGCACTTTAACCAAAATAGTTCATGAAGCTATTCGTTCGCTGAAGTTTTGTTGCATCAGATTTGGGGGAAGTGAAAGCAGGAATGTTTTGTAACTCAGCAACCCTGGACAGGATATAATGACTAGATGAAACAGAAAATGACCCTATTTCAGATTTCTTCCTATTTTTGCACCCCGATTTTGTTATTTGACAAATTCAGTTGTGAAAATGACATTTCTGGAGGAAAAGTAGCTTCAAACAAATTGTGTTTATTTATATGAGTAGTAGTAGTATTGCTGATGGTGTTTTTGAAATATAATTTCCAGACTATAAGCCACTATTTTTTCACAGGCTATGAACCCTGCAGCTTATACAATGCTGCGGCTAATTTATGGATTTTTGATTTTTGAGTGGAGGAGAGAACGGGGAGGGGGAACTTGTGCCCTTACTTGGGTGCACAACAAATTATTCACAGCCACTTGATATCCGCGTGAATCGTGTATTAACGTGACACTCGAAGCTCGCAAAACTGGCGACTTCTGCTCCAGTCTGGATCTTGACAGAGGAGCAGTTTTTAAAAATCCTCTGCAGGAGGAAGATGAAGATAGCAATCAGTGACTTCCTGGTAGGCTACTGTATTTATTTTTAAACCAGCCGTGTTACTGGCACTGTTCAGAAAAAAACAAACATTTACTGTATATATGATGTATGTTACCGGTACGTATTTAATCAAAAGTTTAAAAAATCTTTCTGTGTAAATGTCTCACGTTACAACATGGACCGCAGCTTATACACAAATGCAGCCTATATATGTATAAAATTATTGTTTAAATTTAGTGGGCGTGGCTTATATTTGGGTGAGCTCAATAGTCCAGAAATTACAGTAAATGCTGCCATTTTGTGGACATTTTGCTGTAGTTATTATCTCTTACCTTTAAAGATTATTCATCTTTTGCTGTCATTCTGTTTTGATGAAATATTAAAACAATTAGTTTTACAAAATTGTGCCAACTTTTTTTAGATGTTGAGGGAAAAATCTTGCAGTTTACTATGAATCCAGCAAACTATAATATCCTCAAATTATTACCTATCATATTGATCACAAAGAATGTATTTTCCTGTTTAGCAATGACTTCAGTCGTGCTGTTGGAGAGGAGTACCTTAAGTTTTTTGACTTCACTCAACAAACTCTGGATCAAGCCCTCAGGTAAGAATTATAGCAGCGTAAATAGCGTTTTTCATTATAAACATTTTGTAATCTTTTATTTCCCCTTCCTTCTCTCATCCTCAGGTCTTTTCTAAAAGTTGTGGTTCTGATTGGAGAGTCTCAAGAGAGAGAGCGTGTTCTGCAGCATTTCTCCAACCGCTTCCATCAGTGCAACCCTGACTCCTACTCCTCTTCAGGTGAGTCAGATCATACGATGTGTCAAAGATGCAGCTGTGAGGATTTAAATACAACAGATGGTGCATGTGTCACTGCTGCTGTTTTTATATCCTCAGGTGCCGTGTTGGCTCTAACATGCGCCGTGATGCTTCTCAACACGGACTTGCACGGACAGGTAAGGCGAAGAACACAGCGCATTTTGTTTTTGACTTGTGTTTTACAGCTCAGCTCTTGTGTGTTATGTTGTGTTAACAGCTTGTAGGAAAAGCAATGTCATCCGCAAAGTTTGTGTCCAACCTGGATGGGATGAATGAAGGGGAACACTTCAACAAGGACCTGTTAAAAGTAAAATTGGCACGTTTTGTTGTGAAATAGTTTAGGAAAAACCTAATGGCATGAAACGATTAAACCCTTTTTCTCTCCGTGTTTGTTGCAGAGTCTTTACAACTCCATAAAGAGTGAACCTCTGGAGTGGGCTGTGTGAGTAAGCTGTCATAAAACATTACATAAACCAGAAAAATGAGCATTTTGGTGAAAAAAACAGAGCAAGACCATTTAAAACCCTAAAAACAAGGCTCGGATCACTGAATGTTTGATCCTTTTCAAAGTCCAAGGTGTTATACTTGTTGATGATATACAATAGTGAACATAAGTGTTGTCTGTCTAAAACTGTCTTTTTGAAGGAGACTTTATGACACATTTGCAGTGGTATGTGACCAGGTAATAAGACAAGATATGAGAAAAAAAATCATTGTGTGTAAGTTTTAGCCACCTGTGAAGCAAGAAAAGGTCTTATATGACAAAAATGTGCAAAGTTAAATTTTATGACACTTGAAGTCTTAATATGTTGGCCTTAAAGTAAGATTTGAGTCAAAAGAACACCAAGATTCTTGAACTGATCCTCCACATCATCTCTGTTAACGTGAACACTTGGTCTTTGGCACTCTGCTTGAAAATAACATTTTTTTTAGTATTGTGATGTAAGCAAGAATTTTGAAACCATAGGCACCATAGCTGCAGATAAAACATCAGCTGCTTCTTGTGCTGTCAGCATGCATATACAATATGGTATCGTCTGCATATAATTGAACTTTTAACACTTGAACATACATTTGGTAAGTCAGCATAAATACTAAAAAGAACATGCTCTAACACAGAGCCTTGGGGAACCCCAGCCCAGTAGTTAAAATATTATTAAATCAACCAATCTGTACAGCCTGTACTCCATTAGAAAGTTATGTTTTCATCCAGCAGAGGGCGCTGTTGAGAAGTTAAATTAGCGTTGATAACGGTTCATCACGATCGAGTCAAAAGCACGTTTTTAAATCTAAAAAGACAGCTCCAACACAACCTTACTCATCCAGTAAGTTTTTGTAAGCTGAAGCAATCAGAACACATGCTAAATTGAGATTAACAACAAACTAAAATTAGCTCAACAGTAGCTGAATCTAAAACTAGCAAAAAATAGCTAAAAATGTAAAACTAGATAAACTGCAGCTTTAAGCCAATATGAACTAATCCATAGTGAAAAGCTAAACATAGCAAAGTAGGAGCTCAATGCTAGAATTACTAACACCATAGCTAAAATCTAAAAAGCAGCAAAATATAGCCAAATTGTGCTAAAATTAGCAAACAAAAGCTAAAATAAGAACATTAGTAGCCAAAAGATAAAATTAGCAAAATTATAGCTAAAAGCTATAGTTAAAAAGACTGTCACTAAACTCTAATATACATACACACACACATGACCTGTCCAGGGTGTACCCTGCCTCTCGCACAGTGACTGCTAAATATGAGCATCAGTGACGCCCGTGACCCTAAAAGGAAGAAGCGAGTCAAGATGACTGACGGACGGACATATAGCCAAAAATCAGCATAAAAGTTTGATTCGATTCAATTCAGTTTATTTATATAGCGCCAATTCACAACAAAGTTGTCTCAGGGCACTTTACAGAAACATTCACTTACATAGAAAAGCCACTTAGTAAAGTTCTCTATCTAAGGAAGCCAGTAGACAAGTTGAATCTTGGCTTCGTTGCAGTCTCCCATCCTGAGCAAGCACAGTGGCAATAGTGGAAAGAAAAAACTCCCTTTTTAAAGGAAGAAACCTCCAGCAGAACCAGGCTCAGGATGAGCGGTCATCTGCTTTGACCGGCTGGTTTGAAAGGACAGGAAGGAGAGACAGACAAACACAGAATGGTAGGTCCAGATGTAGATGCAGGTGAACCTGAAAGACAAAAAAAAAACATGTTAAGGATAGAAAAAATAATGACAAATACAAAACAGGTTGAGCAGAGTGAGTAAAGCCAGTAGCAGAGTGAAAATTGTGGTCAGTTTGTCCTCCAGCCATCTAAGCCTATAGCAGCATAACTAAGGGACAGCTCAGGAAACCCAAGCCAACCCTAACTATAGGATTTAGCAAAAAGGAAAGTCGTAATCCCAGTTTTAAAACTGGACAATGTGTCAGCCTCATGGACAGAGATTGGAAGTTGGTTCCACAAGAGAGGAGCCTGATAACTGAAAGATCTGCCTCCCATTCTGCTTTGGGAAACTCTAGGAACCACAAGTAAACCTGCAGTCTGAGAGTGAAGTGCTCTTTTAGGAAAATATGGAACAATAAGATCTGTAATATAAGATGGAGCTAGGTTGTTGAGAGCTTTGTAGGTTAGAAGTAGGATTTTGAATTCAATTCTGGACTTGACAGGGAGCCAATGGAGAGAAGCTAAAACTGGAGAGAGATGATCTCTCCCACTAACTCCAGTTAAGACTCTGGCAGCTACATTTTGGATCAAGTGAAGACATTTAGTATTTGGACACCCAGATAATAAACCATTGCAATAGTCCAGTCTAGACATGACAATGCATGGACCAGTTTTTCTGCATCATTTTTAGATGTTTCTAATTTTAGCGATATTATGCAGTTCTAGTAATGTTTTTAATGTGGGGGATAAAAGACATGTCCTGATCAAAAATAACACCAAGCTTTTTAACATTAGAGCTGGAGGACAGATTAATGCCATCCAAGGGAGGGAGAAAGACTGAAAAATTCATTCCTAAGGTGCTCAGTTTTGTAGTTTTGTCTGTGTTCAACAGGAAAAAATTAAGGGTCATCCAGGTTTTTATGTCTCTAAGGCATGCTTGCAGTCTAAGTAGCTGATTGGATTCATTGCATTTAATGGACAAATATAATTGTGTGTCATCAGCATAACAATAAAAATGCATCCCATGCTGTTAAATAACTTTACCTAAAGAATAAAAGTTTGATCACTAAAGAAAAAATACAGAAGAAACTAAAACAGAAGAACAATAGTGTCAGTGCTGCCTCAGCCTTCACACAGTGACACATTTGATGTCACTCATTTTACTCCTTGGTTGTATTTTAAAGTGACGAAGAGGAGCTGAAGAACTTGGTGGATGAGAATACAGGTGACAACGTGTCTCTGCGTTCAAAAGCAAACCCCTTCCAGGATGTTCCTCATGACAAAAAGGCCACGGTGGTCAAAGAGGGAATCCTCCAGAGGAAGCTTCATGCTGACATCAATGGCAAACGCAGTGAGTATGACGCAAACGCATAGCAACATGAGCGACTACACCAAAGGTGATTTGTTGACGAGTGTTGCTCAGGACTGTAAAATTGGAGGAAGATGAGGATTATTTATAGAAGCCTTAACACTTAAAGTCACTGAGGTATTTTATAAGTGGAGCTGCTACAGCTTGCTTCTTTTGTCAGAAAAATAACTCCAAATATGTTCCATCTTATGAACAGCAACATTTTTACTCACCAGCAGGTTTCTTCTTGTATTTATAGTCCATAAAGTTCAGAATAATGTTCTCAAACAAAAGGCAGTAGGCTGTAGCAAAAGCCAAAAACTCTTTGGTCCATCCAGCAACACACCTGTCAGCTGAACGATTAACCACCCTTGCAGAAACGAACAAACCTTGAAATAGTGACACCTACTGGCCAAACTATGGTATTACACACAATCTTGATATGGCTTTATTGTAGGGTCTGAAATTCAGGATATGTACTGCCATGTGGATTAAAAAAGTTTTTGACAAAAACTACCAAGGTTGTATTACTGATCAGAAACTAAAACAGTTGTGAATTTACCTCATAATTGCAAAAAAATGTTCCTTTTGTTAGTTTTGATAGGTACAAATAGCCAGTAGCTGCGTTCAAGAGCACACTTTTAACATCTAAACAACTTACTCTGAAAATCTAATCTCTTGCAAGAGACCATTGTTGACTTTGTCAATAATTTTCTGTCTGAACAACAACCATGTCAAAGATAAATCCTGCTGCTTATCAGTCGTGACTTTCAGTTCTGCTGGTCTAATCTTAAAATGGCATCTACAGATAAAAACACGAGTATTCTGAAAACAAATATAGTCAGTCGAGATCAAATGATATCTGTATGAGTCAGATTAGACAGAACGACGCTGGTATTTTTAACAGCAACGGCGCACAGAGCATAGCAACACAAACGCTGTTTAATTTAACAAATCGTAACAACAAACGGTTGATTCATGTGAAAGTGACGAGGTGAAAAAATACCATATATAGTGTTTGAAATGATTAGGAAGCTTTAGGTTTGAGCTGTTTATAAATGATATGATCATCTGTCAGCATCACTCCTCCATGAAACTGAAACTTCTCTGAAAGCAAGTAAAGTTACCGTTTTAAAACAATTGCAAATGTTGAAATAAAATGTGATGGGTTCGATAAAACTGTCAGAATAAGCAACTCATACAGGCGTCTGCAGTCACATTTGTTTAATTTGCACAAAGTTACACATTGTTGAAGAAATCAAGATTTATTTAAAAATGATATGTCACTGAGATGATATTCGTGCAGCGTGTATCTGCAGAGAAAACATCTATTTAATAATTATTATAAGGATTTTAATGTCAGAACTGAAACTAAGTGATCGTTTTATTACCTGCTAAATGTTTCTGTGTGTGCAGCTCCTTGGGGGAAGAGAGGCTGGAAGATGTTTTCTGGAGTGCTGAAGGGAATGGTGCTTTACTTACAGAAGGTCAGTAATAAAACTCATATAGTCTGCTATTCAGAATCTTGTTTTCATTTCACTTTTTCAAAAACACGCATGTTTAAGCTGCCCTGGGCTCCCTTGATAAAGAGATCTGTGATCGCCGTGGGGTTTGCTCAGGAAATGTTATTAATAAAACTTCCTTTCGTTTTTCCTGTCTGTGTGTCAGGTTGATTATCACAGGGACCAGACGACTAGTGAGGAGGTGGTGAGCGTGCATCACTCTCTGGCTGAGCAGGCCTCTGATTACACCAAGAAGCCTCACGTGTTTCGCTTGCAGACGGCCGATTGGCGGGTTTTCCTCTTTCAGGCCTCGTAAGTTACATTAAACCAGAGGTGTGTTCATGTTGATGGCTCTGTGGTCCTGTAAGACCATCTGCTTGTTGTTTCTCTCAGGTCCAAAATGGAGATGTATTCCTGGATCAACCGTATCAACTTTGTTTCAGCTCTTCACTCATCGCCTCCGTTTGCCGCCGCGGTCGGCTCTCAGAGGAGGTTTTGCAGGCCGATCCTCCCCTGCTCACAGTCTGCTTTCAGCCTGGTACACACTCCTCTTCTTTGGGGACTGTTTTATTTTAAACATTGTATTCATTATTTTTTTGTGATGTTTCTACTAGTTCTTGCTCAGTGTGTCAAAAAGTTCATTGTATCAAACAAACAAACAACAACAAAAAAACAATGAGGAAATCTTTTATTAAGCTTTTATAGCAGATGCATGAAACGTTAAAATAAAATTTAACTTAGGAGTGTCGGCCTCCTAGAAAATCTGTATATACATAATTTGATGTTTAAAAACTTATGTGTAACTAGGGAAATTGCATTTCCTGCAGAAATGCAGTGTAAATGGTTATTGCTGAAGAACGTGCTGAAAAACAGCTGAAATTAGATAAAAAACATGCTGAAATGTAGCTAAAATGGAAGAACAAGCCTAAGTTAGCAGAAGAAAACAGAAAAAACACATGTTTGCTGAATTTGGTTTAAACAAGCAGAAATGAGCACAAAAAAATAGTAAATTTGCTGAAAAAAAGCTGAAATTAGCAAGAAATAACTGAAAAGTAGCTAAAACAAAGAAGCTTAAATTACCAGAAGGACATGGAGAGAGCACATTTGTGCCCAATAAGGCTGAAAGAAGCAGAAATTAACACAAAAAGTGAAAATGATCTGAAAAAAGCAGAACTTTGCAAACAATCAAGAAACAAAAACTGCTGAATAGTGGCTATAAAAACACAAAGAAGCTTAAATTACCAGAAGAAAGTGAAAAGAGTATAATTTTGCTCTGTTAGGCTGAAAGAAGCAGGAATTAACACAAAAAGAGGGACAATTATCTGAAATAAGCTTAAATGAGCAAAAAACAGTTGAAATTTAGCTAAAAAAAGCTGAAAGAAACTTAAATTACCAGAAGGAAGTGGAGAGAGCACATTTTTTTTGCTGAACTAGGGTGAAAAAGGTTGAAACAAGTGCAAAAAAAAATATGTGGAATTAGCTGAAAAAGCTAAAATTAGCATGAAAACTGCAGCAGCTGAAATAGCAGAAAAAAACTCAAACTGGTAGAAAAAAGCTGAAATTAGCATAACAAGCTGAAACTAGCTGAAAGAAGTTAGAAGAAGCACAAAAATGTTGTAGTTAAAAGAAAGATTATGAAAAGAGCACAAAAGAGCTGAAAAAAACTGCTGAAATTAGCACAAGGAAGCTGAAAGAAGCTGAAACAGAACAAAATGTAAAAGGAGCAGAAAAAGGTTGTAAACAGATCTAAAGACAGGAAGGATGTAAAAAGAGCTCAGTTCAACGAGAAAAATAAAATGGCAGAAAAGGCTAAATATCTCAAAAAGCTAAAGTTGCACCATTACCAAAAGTCATAAAAACCTTCTTCCGAAGGAGCTGAATGTTTTGCTATGAATTGTTGAAATGGCTTGAAACTGTGGGATGAGACAGATGCCAAAACAAAATGTAAGGAATCGGGATAGTCACTATAAGAAATGTTAACAGGATCACAATAGTGTGAATTCTTAATGAGCATTCACACTATTAGGATTGAAGTTTCTGTTAAATTGATGAAATTTAGTCCAGAATTTCATGTTTTGTATCAGTTGCTGTGTCATATTCTGCGTGCAGGAATGCCAGCTGCAGTTTCACCAAGGAATGCTGGAATCCTTCACAACTGACCTGTCGGACCAGCAGCAGAACGTTTTGGATGCCAAGAAGGCCAAAGCCAAGGATCTGGAGGAGCATCGGGTCAGAACTGAGTACCTACAGCATGAGGTACTGAAGCTGCTGTGAGATGTTTGAATGTGCGTGTGAAGGTCAACAGCTGATGCAGTGTTTGTTCCATCACAGATGTGTCGCTATGGGATCTACATCCAGATGCTGGAAACATGGAAGAGCGTGAAGAAGCTGGACAACGGTACATTGAGCAGCGTGAACCTGACTCTGTTCGACAAGGCTATATGTGCTGACTCTGCCTGGGTGGAGGAAGAGAAGGAAGGTGGGCTGAAGAAGTCTCACTCCAGCCCCTCTCTGGAACTGGAAGCAGCTGCTTCGGTAGTAAAAGTCAAGCGCAACATATCTGAGCGACGGACTTATCGTAGGAAGATCGTTCCTCGATGGAATACAGAAGTCTATGATTAGAAGAGCAGTTCGTGGACGCTGACGGCGTATATTTATACAGTACTTCTAGAATTTTTAGTTAGTGGAAGGAGGAAAAAAAACTGAAAATATAGAGTGAAACCCTTCAAAGAAAATTTTTATAAATCGTCATTTTGTGCACTTTTACAAAAACAAACCAGATTTTCTCAGGCGGGCGGTGAGATCACATTTTATTTGTTGAGTGGTTTAAAATGTCTGGACCTAATTTATTTAGTTTCGTTGGAACATGTCATTTGTTTTTATTACTTAAATATACTATTACAAACATTTGCAACATTTTATATTAGGACCAGATGTGTCTTAAAAATATTATCCACAAGAGGGCGCTGTAGAACAGCACATTTCGGAACGGAAGTAGGCGGAAGTTAGTTTATTTTCAAGTTGCACTTTTTTTTTTATTTAATTTAATTTTTTTTTTACTATTGTGTACAAAATGTTAATCAGCTTCCTTTGAACGTTTATGATGTTAATATACCTGGAAAATGTTTTATTCAAATGAAGGATTTCTAAAATAACCAATTTCTGTTCAGCTTCTGTTACAACCTTTTAAACCAATAATAAATATGGGTACTTGAAAGCAACACAGACATAATTTTCCATTATTTTATGTTAGACTTTTGCCAAAGAAAGCTCAGATTGGGACATGTGGAATTTTTTTTAAATGAATTAAATACATTTAGGCTTAATTTTTCAACAAAATTTCCTTAAATTCCTTAATGTATACGTAAGGTATATTTTAAACTGTTATCAAAACTAGTTTAGTTTGCTTACCTTTTGCTTTGTTTTATTTTAAATGTGAATTTTTTTAAGAAAACTAAAATCTAATTAATAGAGTTGTACATATATGCTTTAATTTGTTGATTAAGCTGTTAAAATGTGCAACATTTTATATTTATGTTACTGTATGACAGTTATTTTATGCCGGATGCTCTTCTTGACACAAACCTGCAGCTTCAGGATTACAAGCCCCATGGTGCGTTTAATATTTTTAAATTGTGTTGGAAAGGAGAAATGCTCAGGGTAAATAGTCCTGCTTGTTAGTTCATCCGTGGATTTGAAACATTGGCTTTAGGTGCATTTTAAGAGCTACATTTGGGATGTAACTTGACTTTATGCAACACAAGATGTTTTTTTTTTATTCTCAAATGTAACGTGTGTGAGATATTCTTCACAGAATTTAGCTGAAATAATAACTTGGTTCAAATTAAACTTGCCCACTTTTAAAGTTATAAAAAATAGTTTGTGAGCGCCCCTCTGGGATTGTTTCTGTACGTGACTGCATCCAGTTGGTCATATTTTGCTGTTTTTTTACCCACACCAAATCAACACACACAGTTAAAGCCAGAAAGACTCATCCTGGTTTGATGTTGGGACAGGCAGACCTGAATAATCTGCTTATCTGCTAAATGTAGATCTGTCCCTCTTGGACATCAGGAGGAACTCAGTTAGCATGCTAATGGAAATATCCTGCATGCATTCACAGGAAGAACAACAGCTTGTTAAGATAAACTCTGCAGATGAGGATGACTGATTGGTCACGTGAGTGACGGGGGCCCGGGGCCATCGCAGCACCTTTAAGTTGAGAGCTGGGGTGACACCATTTTTACTAACCTACAAAAAAAAAAAAAAAAAAGTTACAGAAGCAACATTTCCTTTAGATTTGTTTGTTGTTAAAAATCTATTAATCATCCAGGAAACAGCGATGAATTTGCTGACGTCACAGAGGAGCTCTCGAGAAAACAAAACTTCTCGCATGGCCTGTGGAGCATGACTTGAGCAGCAGTGGTGGTCTCATTTCTTTGGAGTGCCATCGCTTTCCTCCTCTTCACCGAGCAGTAATGACCAGGGCTGCATGAGCTGCTGGGTTCAGAGGGCGTCCTTCCCAAAGAGCCGGCCTGTTTTTGTTCCACCTGCGTTGCTCCATTCTGGAGCGCGGTGCGACTCAGTCAGGCCTGGCTGGGTAATTAAAAAGGCAAGAGTTGTGCGAGGCTCCAAAACAGATCCCAGTCACTTCTTCATCTGTTTTTCTTTTTGACCTACTTGCTCAGCTTGCAGCATTCCTCTAAAAATGTCACTGTTTAACCAAAAACACTTGAAAATACAGAAAATGTTGCTGTGTTGGCCCATTTCTACCCTCAGTGCTCCTCTCGATGCTCATTCTCAATCTGCCTCAGACGCCTGTCCACGCTCTATTTAATACTTTTCATTTTTTATCCTCATTAACACTTGATTTCTCACAAAGTCCTGTCCTTGGTGTCACCCCATGCTGCCCCAGCAGACTGCTGGCTGCTGTTGTGAAGTGTCTTTCACTATCCAGGGTCCTTGAAATCTCTCCATGAACCTTTCAGGAGTTTTGTTTTCCACCACTCAAACCCAGCTTACCTCTTCAGACGATATGAACGCCTATCATCCAGTTTTTCAAACCCTCCTATTTTCCACATTTAAACGTATTAAAACTCTGTCCTGTAGATTTCTACAGCTTTGAAATAAAACATGCATATTAGACAATAAAATGTGCAGCTCAATCAGCAATAGTGCATTTTGAATTTTGGTCATATTGCATGCTAAGTATGTAAAAGAGAAAGAAAAATAATAATAGAGGTGAATGGGATTTTGGCAAATGCAAACTAACCCTGTTTGGAACTTTGTAACCCAGATTTGCTGCACAGCAGAAATATTATTTTAATTTAAAATGAGTCTCAGAAAGGTTGAACTTGCATTTTGATACATTTTATGGTTTTATACAATCATAATTGAAGTTTTAGGATTTTTACAGATTTTTTTCAGATAATGTTCAACAGTTTATGTCACACACTAAATTGGAAATGTCTAAAATATTCAAACTCTTCTTACTCCCACAACTCTTTTTTGCACACATACAAATAATACATTAAAGTGTAGGTGTTTTTGTCTTCTTTCACCCACGAGAGAATTTACAGCCACATTCTCCCAGAATGCAAAGAGAGTACGGACAAGCTTCCACATACTTTGATTATATTTCAGCTGACAATATTCTCTTCATAACTGGAAGTGAAATATCTATTTAACTTGTCATACTTGTTACGTTTCTACAGTACTGAAACAGAAAAATTCACAAAAGAACGGTGCCTTCTGCTGTTCACAATTCTAAATATTTGAAGAACTGGCTTGTAGTTTTTGCACAGTGACTGTTTGGGCAATTTTTTTTACTGTCTCTCTTTAACTTAGTCATCAGGGAGTGAGAGACACAGCTGTGGGGTTACCATGGTGACCCTGAAGGGCCACTAGCAACCATTTTACAATTTCTTTCAATTATTTTCCTTTATATTCATTAAAATGTAGACATTTCTTCTTATCACAAAGTTATGTTTGAAAATTACAGCTTCATTGGTATCATTCAGAATTTTTTTCTGCAACTATAGAGAAAATACATTTCCTGCAAAAATGCAGTGTGAATTTTTATTGCAGAAGAACTTGCTGAAAAACAGCTGAATTTAGCTAAAAAAAAAAAAACATGCTGAGATGTAGATGAAAATGTAGAACAAGTGTAAACCAGCAGGAAAAAGCAGAAAAAACTCAAAAGTTGAAATGAGTGCAAACAAATATGGAATCAATTGAAAAAGCTAATATTAGCATAAACAGATAAATAGTAGCTGGAATAACTATTACAAGCAGAAATACGCTGAAAGGAGCATAACAAGTTGAAATTAGCAGAACTAATTTAATTAGGCTGTAAGTAGCAGAGATTTCCATGAAAAACTTGAATTTATCTGAAAACAGCTGAAATGAGCTAAAATATTCTGAAAAGTAGCTGAAAAGGTACAAACTGGATTCCAAAAAAGTTGGGACACTAAACAAATTGTGAATAAAAACTGAATGCAATGATGTGGAGATGGCAAATGTCAATATTTTATTTGTGATATAACATAGATGACAGATCAAAAGTTTAATCTGAGTAAATGTAACATTTTAAAGGAAAAATATGTTGATTATAAATTTCACAGTGTCAACAAATCGTAAAAAAGTTGGGACAAGTAGCAATAAGTGGCTGGCAAAAGGAAATAGAGCATATAACAAACAGCTGGAAGACCAATTAACACTAATTAGGTCAATTGACAACATGACTGGGTATAAAAAGAGCTTCTCAGAGTGTCAGTGTCTCTCAGAAGCCAAGATGGTAAGAGGATCACCAATTCCACCATTGTTGCGCAGAAAGATAGTGCAGCAATACCAGAATGGTGTTACCCAGCGTAAAATAGCAAAGACTTTTAAGTTATCATCATCAACCGTGCATAACATCATCAAAAGATTCAGAGAATCTGGAACAATTGCTGTGCGTAAGGGTCAAGGCCGTAAAACTCTACTGGATGCTCGTGATCTCCGGGCCCTTAAACGTCACTGCACCTCAAACAGGAATGCCACTGTCAAGGAAATAACAGAATGGGCTCAGGAATACTTCCAGAAAGCATTGTCAGTGAACACAATCCACCGTGCCATCCGCCGTTGCCAGCTGAAACTCTACAGTGCAAAGAGGAAGCCATTTCTAAGCAAGCTCCACAAGCTCAGACGTTTGCACTGGGCCAGGGGTCATTTAAAATGGTGTGGCAAAATGGAAGACAGTTCTGTGGTCAGATGAGTCACAATTTGAAGTTCTTTATGGAACACTGGGACACCATGTCATCTGGACCAGAGAGGACAAGGATAGCCCAAGTTGTTATCAACGCTCCGTTCAGAAGCCTGCATCACTGATGGTATGGGGTTGCATGAGCGCTTGTGGCATGGGCAGCTTGCATGTCTGGAAAGGCACCATTAATGCAGAGAACTATGTTCAGGTTCTAGAACAACATATGCTCCCATCTAGACGTCATCTCTTTCAGGGAAGACCCTGCATTTTTCAACACGATAATGCCAGACCACATTCTGCAGCAATCACAACATCATGGCTACGTAGGAGAAGGATCCAGGTACTGAAATGTCCAGCCTGCAGTCCAGATCTTTCACCTATAGAGAACATTTGGCGCATCATAACGAGGAAGGTGCGACAAAGAAGGCCCAAGACGATTGAACAGTTAGAGGCCTGTATTAGACATGAATGGGAGAGCATTCCTATTTCTAAACTTGAGAAACTGGTCTCCTCTGTCCCCAGACGTCTGTTGAGTGTTGTAAGAAGAAGGGGGGAT